TAGGTGTATGAGTGTATTGCCTGCATCCATGTAAGTGCACCCATGTCGTGCAATGTCCATGGAGATCAGAAGAGGGTGTCAGATCCCCTGGAACTGGAGTTAAGAATGGTTGTTAGCCACCATGTGGGTGCTGGGACTTGAACCCGGGTCCTCTGTAAGAGCAGCGAGTGCTTTTAACCATTGAGTCATCTCTCCAGCCTGTTTTGTTCTGTTTTAAGACAGGGCCTCACATAGTACAGGTTGGCCTATATAACTCCTGATCCTCCTGCCTCTACCTCCTAAGTGTTTCGATTATAGACATGTACCACCATACTCAATTTGTTTAATCTTTGCCACATCCTGTGATGAAGACAATATTTTCATTTGACTATGAGGAAACTGAGGTACACAGCTATGAAAAAGATCTTGCCCAAAGTCACAGGGCTAGTTAGGGATGAAGGCAGTATTTGAATGCAGACCTTTCTCAGTCCAAAGTCCTTATGTGCCTTTTCCAGCATAGCTTTCTGCCTCCCCATGATAGATAGAGAAGGCAGAGAAAATAGGGCAGGATGGAATTCACACAGATACACACACACACACAGACACAGACACACACACACACACAAATTCTAACAGCTAGTATTTCTTGAGTATCTACTATGTGGCAAGTCTTATGCCAGGTACTTTACATAAATGAATTTTACAATTCTCATACTAACCTTTCAGAGCAGGAATTATTATTCTCATTTTAAATTTATTGCTTTATCATTTTCACTTTGAACTGCAATCTCATTCAGTGACCCAGACTGGCCTGAAACTCCTGAGCTGATCTTGTCTCTAACTTCAGGGTAGCTGGGCCTATAGACACACATCACCATGCCCAGGTTTTCATTTAAATTTTTTAATTTTTTTGTGTATAAATACGTTATATACATGTGTGTAAACGTGTGTGGGAGAAGATGGGTTCACCTGTGCATGCATGCATGTGTGGAGTCAGGGATCAAGGTTTTCTGTCTTCCCCTATTACTTGCCACATTATTTATTTTTAAATAATTTTATATTTATTGTTTTTATTTTATGTGTATGAATGTATTGCCTGCATGTATATAAGTGCACCCATGTTGTGCAATGCCTGTGGAGGTCTGAAGAGGGTGTCAGATCCCTTGGAACTGGAGTTATCTGACCTCCTAGGCACTGCACGACATGGGTGCACTCACATACAGGTAGGCAATATACTCATACACATAAAATAAAAATAAAATATCTATATTGAAAAAAAGAAACTTTTTCAGGGTCAGGTGTGGTGGTGCACTCGGGAGGCAGAGGCAGGTGGATCTTTGTAAGTTTGAAGCTATCTGCCTGGTCTGCATAGTGAGTTGCACGTCAACCAGGGCTACAAAGTGAGACCTTATCTCAAAAAAGCAAAGCAAAACAAACAAAACCTTTTAGTAAAAAAAAAGCAAAAAAACAAAAAACAAAAAACAAAAACATTCATAACAGTAGAGAAACTAGTACATGGATTTCCTGCACAGACCTCACTCAACCTCACCAAATTGTTAACTTTTGCCAGTTTTACTCCATATTCATGTCTCCTTGCCTGTGCTTGAGTGGTGGAGGAATCTAGTATTGAACATTCACATCTATGGGAAGGACTTTGCTTCTTTACTTCTCCCTGTGGACTCATGAAAAAGCTTCTCATGATTTCATTATGTGGTAGAGCCATGTTTGCAAACTAACATTTGGATTTCTAAAAAGCTTTTAAAATATTTTATTATTTTTATTTTATGTATATGTGTATTGTTTTCATGTATATAAGTGCACCTGTGTCCTGAAATGCCTGAGGAAGTCAGAAGATGGCGTCAGGTGCCCTGGAACTGGAGTTATGGATGGCTGTTAGCCACTATGTGGGTGCTGGGTATTGAACCTGAGTCCTGTGCAAGAGCAGCCACTGCTCTTAACTGCTGAACCATCTCTCCAGCACCGCCACCTTATTTTTTGAGGCAGGGTCTCTCACTGAATCCAGAGCTCACCATACTGGATAGAATGGTTGGTCAGCAAGTCTGTGGATTCACCTGTCTCCACCCCACCAGAACTGGGGTTAGAAAAGTACATGATGACTGGCTTTTACGTGGGTGCTGAGGATCCAAACTCAGCCTGTCATACTTACACAACAAACACTTTATTTATAGAGTCATCTTCCCAGTCCCTTTATTTTCATTTTTTAGAAAGAACAGACTGAGGTTCCAAGAAGTACAATGACTTTCCCAGTTTCACAAATCTACCAGCACAAGTCTCTCATATCCCTCAGGATCCTTTATAACAAGGAGGTCACTGACTGTGTGGATCACTGTGGTGGGGGCTAGAGATACACAGATGAGGATATCAGGAACAATATCAGGAGAAGCAGGTGCTGACTGCTTATCTGACCCATTTGAGTGCAAGTAGGGGCATACGTTGATTTTCAGTTCCATATAGGAAACTCAGCTGTCTGTAATCTCAGCACTTGGAAGGTTAAGGCAAGAAAATCTGGAATTTCTGACCCACTGTCAACTACACAGTGAGTTGTGGCCAGCCTGGGCTACAGGAAACTCCTTTTCAAAAACAAACAAACAAAACAAAACAATTCCATATAGTAAATTGTGGAGGCAAAAATAAGTATCAGTAAAAGCAACAATTCCCATATATTGTGTACTTTCATAAGTATTGTACCATAAATACGCTCACACAAATACATATTATTCCCTTAGTCCCCACAAAATTCTACTACTGTACTGTTAATAAACACATTTCATTCATTCATTCATTCATTTTTGTGGTACTGGAGGTTGAACCCAGGACCTTGCACATGCTTCTGCTGTGCTACATCCTTGGTCTATTTCTTTATTAAATATTTTATTATTTTCTGTGTATGACTGTATTGCCTACATGCATGTAAGTGCATCAGTGTCATGCAATGCCCACAGAGGTCAGAAGAGGGAGTCAGATCTCCTGGAACTGGAGCTTTGAACAGTTCTTACTTGCCATATAGGTGCTGGGAACCGAACCTGGGTTCTCTGCAGCCAGTGCTCTTAACCAGTGAGCTCTCTCTCCAGCCTATATTTATTTATCTTTGAGTCAGGGTGTCACTTTGTAACCCAGGCTGGTCTGGTAGACACAACTGCAATTCTCCTGCCTCTGCCTCTGTAGTGCTGTGGTTATAAGTATTTGCCAGCATACCTGGCTAAAAGTCAGTAACCAGTAAGGAATGCCAGCATGTACTGGGAACCTACAAATTCTCTCTCTCTTTCTGTCTCTCTTTTTCTCCCTCCCTCCCTCCCTCCCTCCCTCTCTCTCATCTTTTTGAGACAGGGTCTCCCTGTAGCCCCAGCTGGCCTGGAACTCACTATGTAGGCCAGGCTAGCCTCGAACTCACAGAGATTCGCCTGCCTCCACTGGGATTAAAGGCTACCATGCCCGGTGTTCGAATCTCGATTAAGAGTTTTCCTGTTTGTGTGTGTGCGTGTGTGTGTGTGTGTGTGTGTGTGTGTGTTGCACAGAGGTGTGCAGGTGCTTGAGGGAGCCAGAGGTTGATGCCAAGATGTTTTTTTTCTTTTTTCTTTAATGTGTATGAGTGGTTTGCCTGCATTTTTAAGTGCACCCATGAATGCAAAACCCCAGAGGCCAGAAAAGGGTGTCAGAAGAGGGCATCAGAAGAGGACATCGGATCCCCTGGAAGTGGAATTACAGACAGTTACAGAGAGTTGTTATTCACCATGTGGGTGCTGCGAACTGAACTCTGGTCTTCTGCAAGAGGAGCCATTGCTCCTAACCTCTGAGCCAACTCTCCAGCCTTCAAGATACCTTTTTTCAAATTTTATTTTATTTTAATTAATTAATTAATTAATTAATTAATTTATTTATTGGTGTTTTTGAGACAGGGTCTCCCTGTAGCCCCAGCTGTCCTGGAACTCACTGTGTAGACCAGGCTGGGCTCGAACTCACAAAGATCCGCCTGCCTCTGCCTCCCAAGTGCTGGGATTAAAGGCCTGCCTATGCCCCACCTTCAAATTTTATTTTTAAGTGGGTTCCTGGTAAGCAGGACCCAAGCAGGCTTGAACTTGCGATCTTCCATCCTTAGTATATAGTCGTATGTCACCGTCCCTAGCTTAATTCTATGTAATGGTAAAAAATAATTTCAGGGCTGGGTGTGGTGGCATAGGCTTTTAATTCCAGCACTCAGGTGGCAGAGGGAGGCGGATCTATGTGAGATGGAGGCCAGCCTGGTCTACACAGTGAGTTCCAGGCCAGCTGGGCTTCAGGGAGACCCTGTCTCAAAAAGACCCCTCCTCCCGCCAATATGCTTGATTCTCAAATCCATATTTTTGGGCTGGGACCCAGGTTTGATTCCCAGCACTCACATGATGGCTATCAGCTGTTCCTAACTCCAGTTCCAGAGGATCTGATGCCTTCTTTTGACCTCCCCGGCATTGTATGACACGGGTGCACTTACATACATGCCGGCAATACACTCATACACATGAAATTAAAATAATAAATAAAATAAAAAAGAATTTCAGGGTCTGATTTCCACAAGGTTTTAAAGCAACTAAGTGTTCCTTTCAGATCTAGGGCTGTGGGTCTCAATTCTCACATCTAAGGACTTTTGAACTGAGTCCAAGTCAGGAAAATGGAAGCCACCGTTGTAGTACAAGGTCTTGGGAAGGGGATGCCTGGCTCGAGAAACCACATTGTGAATGGTGAATGGAATTTGAAGAGCTAGTGACCAGTTTAGGGCCATGAGGATAATTCAAATTAGGCACAGAGGTAAGTAAATTCGGTTATTTGGGAAACCCGTGGGAGACTGCAAGGGGCCTGGAGATTGCGGTGGGGCCAGTCCCGGTTTCTTCCAGAAGAAAATTCCCACGACCACCTAGCGAGTGCAGACACCGGTAGCTGCTGGTGTAGGCATGGGCGTACGCGCCCCGGTGGCGCTGGGGGGCGAGGCCTGGTCGGAATGAGGCGTGCCTGGGGCGGAGCCTGCGCTGCGTCGGTCGGTTTTGACCGGCTGCTGAGGCAGCGAAGAGCTGTGGGCTCACCTCCTGGCTTTCCCGCGCCGTAGCGCCTCCTCCGTCGGCTTCCTCCTCGCACCGCTGTTCGCCCGCGCGCCGGCCGGCTTAGTCATGGCGACCCGCAGCCCCAGCGTAGTGGTAAGCTGTTCGAGTCGTCCGCTGGGCCGGATGCCCTTAGGCCCACACGGCCCGCGTCACAGGGACGCGGGCCAGGCCCACACTGTGTGCTCGGTCCGCGGCGGGGAAGCGTGGTGGGGGTGGGGGGACGGTCACAGGTTCCCCAGGTCTGTCTGGGGAACTTCACGCGACGGCGGCGGGGAGGACGGAATGGCGGGGGCGGTGGTGGGAGAGCCCCTGGAGCTAGGGCTGCGTGTGGGCAGGAAAGGTGGAAATGGCGTTGGGCTTGACCTGTGCGGGCCGCGGGTACACGGCGGGGAGAGGCCGATTCGGGAAGGATCGGGCGTGGGGTGGGGTGGGGGAGGCAGGGGAGCTTTCCCCGGAGAGGCTCAGCTCTGCAAGTTTGGGGTTTGGCGGGGGGGGGGGGCTCGTGGAACCACAGAAGGAGCTTCGGCACCCAGGATGACCGCATGGGAGGGCATGTGCAGGCCTGGCTTCGCCTCTAATTCTGCAGATGCTCTAATTCGTATTTGTGGGAATGCGCAATTGCTCTGTTGAATCCTCGCCACAGCCATGGGTATCGAGAGCCATGCCTGTTTTCCACCCAAAGGGTCTAGTAAAAAGACGCCTCTTTTTTTTTTTTTCCCACGGCCCAAGGTAATATAATGGGTCTTGGATTCTGATATCCTTTGATGCTGCCTAGGATTAAAAAAAAAAGTCAGCAACAACAAAAACAAAAACTAGATCTAGTTCGTTAAGCTTAAGGACATTTTTTACCATAGCCATAGTCCAGCATCTAATAGTTTGCCTTTACATCTATTATGTTCTATTTTTTTTTAACCCTCCAAACTGCTATCCCTCCTCCACACTCTTTCTGATCATGTCTGCTAAAATAGCCAGAGCCCCTACCACCTGCCTCAGTTAAATGCCTTACCCTGCTTTATTATGATTATTGCCTCTGCTGTTCATTAAATGTTACTGTTGTTGATTTAGCAATTATACTTGTTGATTGCCTTTTCCACTTACACAAACTTTATTTTCCTGTTTTCAAACAGGGTCTTGCTATGTACCTCTGGCTGACCTGGAATTTGCAATGAAGACCAGGATGGCCTCAAATTTGTGACAATTCTGCCTCTACCTTCCAAGTGCTGCGCCACCATGCCCAGCTTTTTTCTTTTTTTTTTGGCTATGTTAGGAATTAAATCTTACACCCAGGGCCTTGCTCATGTCAGGCAAGCTCTCTACCTCTGCTCTTATAGCCCCAGCTCTTAAACTTGATAAGGGCAGGAATCGGCACAGTAACTTTAACATAGAACCCAGTGCCTGCTTTGTGGGAAATTTTCACTAAATGATTTGATGGATGAATTAACTATTTGAGCTCCAAAGAAAGAAAAAAGAATGGCTGTTTCATGTTAGACATTGTGGCTTAAGGCAAAACACTGAGTTCTTAATGATCTCTGACCTGGCACTCTGCTTGTTTGAATTATGTTCTGACTGCATGGTCTTGAACATGTCTGCCTAGGCTTACTCTTCTCTTTTCTTTTTAGACAATCTCCTGCTATGTAGCCCTGCATGCCCTGTGTAGACCAGGCTCACCCCAAACTTACAGGCCGTCTTCCTGCCTCTGCCTCAGTGTGGGTATGTGCCGCTGTGTCTATCTTTGAGTTTTCTTATATCTGAGGTGCTGGCTGCTGGTGTTAATTGAAGACATTGTAATACAGTCTATGTTGGGACTGAAGATATGACTCAGTGGGCAAGAGCACTGGCTGATCTTGGAGAGGACCCAGATTCGTTTCCCAGTGCCCACATAGCAGCTAACAACTGTCCATAACTTCCAGGGTATCTGACACCCTCTTCTGACCTCCAAGGGCATTGCACGGCATGAGTACACCTACCTTTGCACAAACAGTACACTCATGCATAAAAAATAATAAAATATTTTTAAAGACATTCTATGTCAATAAACCACCCTTGCACAGTACCTGATTGATCATTGTGTTTATGTACATAGTCCTAATTAGTTTTCAAAGCAGTTCTATAACAATGACATGGTCACGTTAACAGACAACAGCCTCGGTCATACAGTTTTTATTAAGAGCAGGGAGAGAGACTGGAGTTCAGGGAGTGAGGCTTCCTATTATGTACCTATTAGGCATTTAGATTCCCAGCACCAGAGGCAGGGATAAATTTTAGAAGGTAGAACTCTGACTCAAATCTAGTTCTGTCCCTGGAGCCTCTGCAAGTAAATAGTGTGCTGAGATACAGTAGGTACTCAACAAATGTAATGATTGTTATTTTTAAATTTTTGTTTTTTGTGACAGGTCTTACTATGTAGCCCTGGCTGGCCTGGAGCTTTCTATGTAGACCAGGCTGGCCTCCAGCTCACAGAGATCTACCTGCCTCTGCCTTTCGAGTTCTAGGAATAAAGGTGTGAGCCACCACACCTGGCATATGTGATTATGTTCAGTTACTGAGGAAGTTCTACAGATGCTTTTGAGCTTTGGAGTATGGCACCCGTTCCGGTATCCAGTGAATTACTTATTACTGCTGGGAATGCCTGTTGCTAGTTTTGTTTGAACATCAAGAAATTCATTGTGTCTTTAGTTTGCAAATTCATGTTCCTTTTAAAAAAAAATTCCAATTTCCTTCCCCTAAATTGTCTGCATGTTAGGAATAACAAACAGATAGTGCTTACTGTGTGCTAGCTGCTGTCTTAAGTCTTTTAACTGACTGGATCTTAAAAAAAAAAACCCTCCATGACACCGAGTAGTTAAGGAACTTACCTAGAATCACTCAGTGCTACTACCTTTTGAACCTGTTATCTGGCCCCAGATTCTGCTCTTAACCTCTAGGCTTTGGCTAGGAGCCACCATAGATATTTATTATTAAATACTTACTCTGTCTTAGGCATTGAAGTAAATGTTTTGCAGACATTAGCTAACCTAAGTGCCTTAAAGTTACCAGTATGTACCCCGTTGTGTAGATATACACCAGTATGATCTTGGTGTCACAAGGTGGGTGAAGTGACGTACCTGGGAACACCTTGATGAAAGTGGCCCCCAGATGTGCACTTGCTGCTTGAAACATTTTAGAAAAAGCTGGAGGTTTTGCAAACCAATGTGAAACATCAGATGTGTTTTATGTTGATGTCTTCTAAATTTCAAAGTGGTGCAGCTAGAAATGTAACAAATGTTACCATGCTAAATGATTTTTAATTTTTTGTTGTTTTGAGACAGGCTCACTCTGTAGCCCAGGCTGTCCTGGAACTCAGCTGTGTAACTAGGCAGGTCTTGAACTAACATAATTCTCTGCCTTAGCATTTCATGTGCTATAAACAATTTTTTTTGGTGGTGGTAGGGGGTTTTGAGACAAGATCTCCCTGTAGCCCCAGCTGGTCTGGAGCTAGAACTTGCTATGTAGATCATGCTGGCCTTGACCTCACAGAGATCTGCCTGCCTCTGCCTCCCGAGTGCTGGGATTAAATAATTTTAAAAAAGGGGGGGTTTTCTGGTTGCCCAACTCCTAGTCTCCTGCCACACCGAGTGTGGGGGCTAGAGATAGGCAAATTTTACCTTGCCTAGTATGCTAATACTTGTATGTGTTGGTGACCTAACTAAGGTTCTTACGTGTGCTAAGCACACGGTCTTCCCCATGAACTATACATCAGACTTCTGCTGATTGTTTTCAGAATTGGTAAAATGTTATATTTTCCCTTATAACCATATTGTTATCAGCTGTGTTTAAAATAACATCAGTTTGTAAGTGGAGGATAAAAATTATTCTTTTTGACCACCGAAAAAAAGAACATTTCAGTTTAGGGATTTCTTTCTGTGAATTATACATATATGTTATACATATTATAGATCCATTTTCATTGTTTTCTGTCCATTACGTGTATCTGGGTTTTTCAGTAGGTGAGAAAAGGATACACGTCAACAGAAAAGAAATGTCTTAGAGTTTTTTGTGGGGTTTTTTGTTGTTATTGTTTTTTGGGGTTTTTTTCTTTTGAGACAGATTCTTGCTGTATTCGTCTAGGCTGACTTCAAACTTGTAATCCGTACTGCCTCAGTCTCCTGGGTGCTAGGATTATATGCATGTACCACCATACCTAGCTCTTTTAATTTTAAAAAAATATATTAAACACTTATTTGTGTGTATGTATATGGACGTGCGTGGCATGTGGGGGAGGTCAGAGAACAACTTGTGGGAGTCCATTCTTTCCGCCATTTAGGTCCCGGGGTTCAAACCCAGATCATAAGGCTTGGGAGCAAATGCCTTAAGCTGCAAGGTCAGTGAGATGGCCCTTAAATTTTGTTTTTTAAGAGATGGGATTTGGCTATGTTGCCCAGGCTAGCTCTGCTTTAACCTCCCAAGTAGTTGGGACTGTATTCACATCACCCCATACCCAGTGGAATCTTTATTTTTCTATAATTAATTAGAAATAAAAGAGCCATGTCATTTTTTCCTCTCTAGTAAAAGGATACTGAAGGTATGCTTCTGCATTCTTTCTATAATATTTATTATGTGATTTCAATAAGATTGACATGCCACATGAAAATGGCATTACTACAATTAATAGTAATAGTGCTTTTTTTCTATTCCACTTATTTTTATTTTGTGTGTATGAGTGTACTGACTGCATGTATGTAAGTGCACCTATGTCATGTAGGGCCCTTGAAGGTCAGAAGAGGGTGTCAGATCCTGTGGAATTGGAGTTATGGACAGTTGTTAGCCATCATGTGGGTGCTGGGAACTGTACCTGGGTCCTCTGCAAGAGCAGCCAGTGCTCTTAACCACTGAGCCATCTTGCCAGCCCTGAATAGTAATATTGAGACTCAGTTGTTATTTTCCTGCTAGGGACTACCAAATTACTAACATTTAAATAATGTGCTGTGGATATAAATTCAAACACTTCAAATTGTTGTTAAACTATCTTCATTTTTTTAAATCCAGAGTGAGCGTGTCTATTTTACTGTGCATATTAATAAATGAAAGATTATGGCGCAAGTTTAATTCATATC